TATGATTAGTACTTGAGATAGTGGAAAAGCCGAAAATTGATTAATCATTATGTAAATTAGGTAATTAATAATATTAACAGATTTTTACCCCAAACTAATCAAATCTGCGCACTAGTTCAGAGCATCCATGTGCCAAGTTTCATCAAAATCCAATGAGTGGTTCTTCCGATATCTGTGGAACAGTCTTGGAACAGCTAAAAATTAGCTAATTATCATGCAAATTAGGTAATTAATATTCATAGATTTTTACCAAAACCTAATCAGCTCTGTGCATTATCCCAGAGCATCTATGTACCAAGTTTCACCAAAATCTGATTAGTGGTTCTTGAGATAACGATGGAACAAAAAAAGTGACATACATACATACATACATACATACAGACATACAGACAGGGTAACTGCAAAGACTCCCTTTTGTGCTTCGCACACGGGAGTCAATTAGAGAACTAAAGATATCATCATGAAATGAACAAATCTAAGAGAGGTACATATACAACAAATATCAAAGCATTCAGACTTGTAGTTTCCAAGAAGTCAAAAAAGTAAAAAGTTGACACAGACGACAGTCAACTGCGGCGCTAAAAATATCAACTGTATTTAGTTATTCATGATATCTAAAGCCATGCATTTTTTATTCAATGATGGGGATTTGACATTTATGTTCTTTTTTAGTACAAATGGCTGCCGACTGGTTAAATTTAATGGAAATCTAAAAACAATTGAGAAGATCATACAACCAATTTTGTCAACCCTCGTAATGACGGTCAGTCCTGCTTTACTGACATTACAACATTCCCCTCTGAATTTACATTTATAGCTTTATCATCTTTCGAGAATAAGGATTTGAGAGTTCTCTTGGTAGCTCCAACAATGAGATACAACCAGTAGATTTGAAAACTTAAAATAGTAGCACATCCAATGTTGCAATGCATTGGTATGTTGAACGGCACTTCCCACAGAGTTAGGTCTTTACTTCTACCGTATATGTGATACATAATGGGAAATAATAAAAGACGACCCACGAAAAAAGTGATAAGAAGTAAAATTCCATTGAGGATTTCGAGTTTTGTTTTCTGCCATCCGATCTGTGGATGAAAATATAGATTATGTGCTTAAGGGGTGGAACATTGAAAAGTGAGGTGGGTTATACAATATATGATGAAAAACAAAATAAAATACATAAAAACAAGCATTGATAATGCATAGTCCCCGTTAAGTATTAGTAGTAGATGGAAAGATCAATTATTTTGTTAACACTAACACAGATTATAGATTGTGTTACTGTCAGTATAGTACCTACGTGAAAACTTTGAACTGAAATCGACTATATCTTACAGAGGAAATAGCATGAAAGACAAACGCAGCCAGTCGGGTATTGTATCTTCAAAAGTATTTCGAAAAGAAGTATGACTTGCACCGTAACCTAATATGTAAGGTCATCATACAAAGTTTGATTGAAAATGCCCTATTCAACTTTGAACTGAATCAAGCCATATCGCCCAGCTCCAAGAAACAGTTCCGGACATGTGACAGAATGATATTTCACGTTTTTTTGACAAAATGGCTACCATTTCGACAAATTTGATCAAATCTCAAGACAAAACATGATGTTGTGTTACCTTGCAGTATACTACCTATGTACAAACTTTCAAGTGAATCAGGCCATATCTTTCAGAAGAATCGGCACAAAAAAAATGGGGAAAAAAATGGCCGCCAGTTGGCCACCTTGGTCCAAAGTTTAAAAAAAATATGACGTGCATGTGTAACCAAATATACATGATCATCATACATAGTTTTGATTGAAATCGCCCTATTCAGCCCTGAGAAACAGTTCCAGACACGTTACAGACTGATTTCAAGATATTAAACAAAATGGTCGCCATTTTGACAAATTTGATCAAATCTCAAAACAAAACATGGTGTTGTGTTAGTGTCTTGAAGTGTAGTACCTATGTACAAACTTTGAACTGAAAAAAACCAAAATGGCCGCCAGTTGGCCATCTTGGACCGAATCTTAAATAATAGTGACGTGCAACTATAACCCAATATGCATGATCGCCATACAAAGTTTGAACGAGATCAGTCCGAGAAATGGCTCCGGATGGACACTCGGACACACAGACGGATGGACGGACAGAACCCATATTAATAGTTTTCGGACTTTGTCCGAACGGGGACTAATAAAAAGAATACACCAGATTTAATCAGATTATATTCAAGTCATTATTTGTTGTCACTATTCCCTAAACAGGTATATCTAACACATGTATGTTCTGAATGTTTGACTGTAGAGGAGCACAGATGGAAATGATTCTTAACATTGTTTGCTCATTGTTTACTCAGCTGATTAATAATATCATGACCAGAAACAATGCTGGCCTTGTTGCACAACAAATCCACGATTGCATATAGTAGCATAGCAACAAAAATTCCAGAACACAAAGCATATCCGTTTGAACTCCCAATTGCCCTTTTTCATCACAATTTCACAAAATAGTCCCGTTTATAGTCTGCACTTTCCTTAAGAAGTTTAAAACAAAATTAGCAAAATCTTTTGAGTAAAAACTGAAAATCGACCTAAATTTTGTCTGTTAGCTCAAAAATTAGGGTTCATTTCCAGGAATTATTGAAGAATACAAGAAAAAAGTACAGAACAATTTGGGCGAGAAAATCTGGTGGGATATACTGTAGAATACTTTATTTTCACTTGGAATTAATTTTCGCTATTTTCGCTAATAGAATAGTTCAGTGAAAATAAAATCCAGTGTATATACCTTTTTTCCTATATTTTACATTCAATTTGTCAAAAATCAGTGAAAATAAAATTTCATACAAAACACTCAAAAAGTCTTTGCAGCGAAAATTAATTCCAGCTAAAATAAAGTATTCTACAGTAGCTACATGTGCAGGACTTACCTGTTTGAATATAGCCCTCAAGTGAATGAATGGATTAGCCAATTCAGTGGAGAAAAAACAACCAACAAAGAAATCACCTTTACCATTCCTATAAAACTAAATGATGAAAAAGTCATAAATAAACAAATACTGTTCTCTAAACATTTAATAAACTCACTGATGAATAAGATCAGTCTCTACAAATTCAAATTATGATATAACCAGATAATACTTACCATTACCATTATTATCGGTAATACTACCATGGCATAACCATTATAAATAAGCAATTATTA